ATTTATAATATATAATATATTAAGAGAAATTAATTAAGTAGAAGTGAGGAAGGAGCCCTATGGCCTATCACATTCTTAATTGGTTAATTTGCAAATTTGGGGCATTTGGGTAGATTCAAGGTGAATCAAAGCAATACAGGTGACTTGTTTGTTTATGAAATTTAAATTTTTATTAGTTAACTTTAAAATTTTATTGACATAATTATTGTTAAATTTAAATGGATTTTAAATTAATATAATTAGGATTTAATATTACAAAATACAAATGGTATCTATTTGTCTAAATTCAAATTAAGAATCAGTTGGTTTGGGCAAGTTTAATTCCAATCCAAACAATATTTCTAGGTGAAATATTTGTCTATGAATTTTATTTTTTTATCAATTAATTTTAAAAATTTATTGATGTAATTGTTTCAAAATTCAACTGGATTTTAAGTTAATGTTATTACGATTTGGGATTGCAAATGCTATATATTTGTCTGAATTTAGATTGAGACTTAATTGGTCTCAATAAATTCAAGTCTAATCCAAGCATTATTTTTAGGTGATATACTTTTTAATGATTTTTAAATATTTATATTTACTTTTAAAATTGTTTTATTGTAATTAAGATTGCATGTCAAAATTCAAATTCAAACTCAATTTAAAATGATAATTTTATTGTAAAATATCTATATATGTTGGCTCTTCTTCAATAGTTGATTTAATATACATCTCTTCAGGTAAGGGTGATGTTCCAGTGGAGGATTAAAAGGCAACAAGAGTTCTTAAAATAACAATTCTCTTATGTCACTTATAGTTTTATTTGTTTTGTTTTGTTCTTTTATATGGAAGCATTTCATGTTAGTTTTTGTTGAATATTGTTGGTTGATAATGAACTTTAAAGAAAAGTTTAATTTTATCATTTGATAATCAGGTGGGACAGGTTGGGGCGGGTTTAATGGGTTTGGAACAGGACATGTCTGAAAAATTGAAAGAAAAAGTTAAACGAGTTTGAGACAGATTTAGAATCAAGGATACCTAGGTGGGTTTGAGAATGGGTATGGCAATTTGCACAGGTACATTGAAAACATTTTTGGACTGGACATGTTCACCCATTCACACCCATTTTATCTTTTGGGGCAAAAAAATAAAGGGGGGCAATTACTATTTTGCCCCACTATCTGTTAGACAGTTTTGTATGCCCTTAGCTTCAATCTGATTTGATGTACTTTTGTTATTTAGTGGAAATAAATAAAGTGCATGTTTGATTCATGTTGTTTGGTATGATTCTGTGTAAGACCCTAA